GCCCTGTGCCCCGGAGGCCCATTGCCCGGAGGCCCCTGAGGCCGGACTCGCTGGTCATCTACCGGCAGAAATGCGAGTTGGTCAAAGGGACGGGCGGCGACAGCCTCAGGGCAGGCTTGGTGAAGAAGCTCTTCCAAGGCCCCGGCAAAGACAGGGCGCTCCTCACCCCCGAGATGCCTAAAGGAAGAGAGGAGGTCAAAACCGAGGGGCCCGACGCCATGGCCAAGGGTGAAGATGCTGCAGCTCCCAAGGCCGCGGGGAGCAGCCCCGAGCCCTGCGCTGTGGCTGGCTCGGTGCCCCCAGCGGTGGCGCCAGACCGCTCCCGACCTGGGGGGACCCCCAGCCGGTGCCAGCCCACACCCCCTGGCTCTGAGCTGCGGGAAGTGAGGCACAGAGGCCTGCACCGTTCTCAGTCCGACGTCAGTTCCCGGTACTCTAAGTCCTTTGCGGAGGGCCTGGACACCTTCTTCCTGTATTGCGGCCTTGACCCCGAGGTGGTGGAGGCCCTGGGGAGGGAGAACTTTGCCGCGGGCTCAGACCACCTCGCCTTCAAAGTCCGCAGCGTGAGCATTGCCACATCGGACAGTGGGTTCTCGCTGCACAGTGGTGGAGACGACGGCTTGCAGGAAGAAGAGCTGATAGAACAAGCCCCCACCAAGACTTCGGTCATCGAGAAGAACGCCCGCATCATCAAATGGCTGTACACCTGTAAGAAGGCCAAGGAGACTCCCAGCAAGGGCCAGTAGGAAAGGAGTGTCAGCCCTGCGCCCAGGCCCAGACTCCGGAACCCCAGGTGTGCTTTTCGAAAAGCTAAGAACTGTGCCTGTCTGCATGCGTGTTTGTGTGTGGTCACTGTAGCCAGGCTAGATAATGACTAGCTACAGCTTCTATTTAGAGTTCAATTCTCTAAAATCAGAAGATTCATAATTAATAGTAAAATTGCTGCCAGTCAAATCCAGGTTTCTAGGATCCAGGTCCAGGGTTCCTTTTTTCCCCACCAAGTCTGCATTTTATTGCCTCAAAAGCTCCTCCTGTTAAGTTAGCCACCATCCTGGTTGGTTTATAATGGGAAACTAGGAGAAACAAAAAAATATTTAAAAAAATCCCAGTCATTAAGTAGTCTCACTCCTCCTGTTAATATTGAATCTTGCATTGAAAACAGCAGGGGAACACCTAGTTTCACATGAATTGACCTTGTAAAACAAGTGCCCTGCGGACTGTGTTGAAGTTTGATTGCTGCCAGTTCTTCCAGCCAGAAGCCCCAGGATAGGCTTTGCTCGCTTAAAGAAAAAATTCTTGCCAACTGATTCAGTGATCGTGGGGTTTGTTGTTTGTGGCTTCACACGAAAAGGAAGATTGGATGTTAAAGTGTCAAAACCAGTGTGCACTTTCTTTTTGGAGGCATTTACAGAAGTTTTAAAGTTGTCAGGAAGGACACTGTTGTGCAGGAGCTTGTCAGCAGTCTGGCGCCCATGGTGCTAGCAAGTAACTTTCCTTGGATAAGTTTTATTGAAGTTGTTTTGCAAACTTTCTAAGGAGCATTGCTTGAACATCAAAGAGCTTCCATTTGTAGAAATGAGGGAATTGGACTAGAGTATAAAAAGTCTTGCCGTTCTTAATTGCTATTAAGCTATCATTTTATAGAAATATGATCATAATGTGGGAAGTGCCATATTTCTTCAAATAACGTGCATACCCTTGTAATGTGTTCCGCGTACAGAGGAAATTGAGAAGTAGGAGGGTTGCTTTCTTGGAAAAAATATTTTAAAATATGATACTATCTTCCCTTTGCACAGAGCTATAGAATATCGTCTTGTGTCATAAAGAATATTTAGCTTCAAATTCCATGATAATAAAACTTATTGATGTCAGAGTGGCCACATCTTTATACCATCATGAATACTATTAAAAAGGAGAGGACCTGTGTTTTTATTTTTTTGTTTTTCTTGACCTGGACCTCAAAACTTAAATTATTTCTTTATTTTATTAGGTATTTGTTTCTTGTCGCCTCTAATCCTCTAGACATGTATACAGGAAATAATTTAAAAAATATATACTTGTCCCAATTACCTTTTGGAGTTGAGATCAATAAACGATGGGAAAGGGCTTCCAAGATGCCAGCCATCCACACTCTGATGGAGGAAGAGAGTTCCTGCATGAGCAGCAGCAGGAGGTACTGGTCAAGTAGAGAATTAGGAGGCTTGTTGGCACAGTTACTTGAGTGTTAACTGCTAAATTCACCCAGTGCTAAGAAGGTAAAAGATGAGGTACTTGGTTTTTTAAAAGGTTGTTAGCATTGGAAACTCTGTGGGGCAATTGTACTGTGCTCCATAGAGTCTCCCCATGAGTCAAAATTGCCTTGACAGCAGTGGATGGTGTTCTGCTCACTATTCACTACTGCGCTTCAGGCCTAGGCTTCCATTCTCCATGACATAAAGAGAGATAGGCAGATGACTTCCACTCTCTCTTCTAATTTTCTCTATTGTCAACGATATGTATACATCTGTGTTCCATGATTTGGATCACAGGAAAAGTAAGTGAAAACTCACTGCTTATTGCTTATTGGATTATGTTAAAAGTCAACTGTGAAGTAGGTGCACCTCCAGGTAGCTAGTAGAATCCAGATCATTGTGTTTTAATTGAAGAAGATGAGTAAAATTGATGGTGAGAACAGTGGTGGGATATGATGACATTCAACCCCAACAGTCAAACTAACAACAACTTCAAAGCAAGCCCACTGCCATGAACTTGGACAGAGTAAAACTATCTCATAATGTTTCCATGGTTGTAAACCTCTAAAGAAGCAGACTACCACATCTTTCTCAAGGTAACACACCAAAAAGCCAAGATAAAACTTAACAGCAGGAAAATAAAAGCACCCAGCTCTGATCTCTCTGGACTCAGACCCACCCCCACCTCTAGGGCTCCATTGTCAAAAGAGTTATTTAGAGGGTCATTTAGGATATGGCCTCTGACAAAATATTTCCAAAAATCTTTTAGGTTTAAGTCTAAGGGGCGGAATCTATCCATTTTGGTTAGCGTGTGAATACTTTTATTTTGAGAAACAAGAAGCATAAGCGAAGGAAGTGGCAACGGTGTTCCCTCTAAGGATGAACGGCAAGTTTAGGTGTCTACAGAGAAGGGAGTCTATGCAGGAGAACCAGGAGCTCATGAGTTAGACTGATTCTCTGTCTGTTGTTTCTTTATCTATTCTAACCCTGTTTGAAACCGGGACCAGTGTCACTTGCTGTCCCAGCTGTTTTGCATTTCTACTTAGAGAAGGGAGATGACATTACCATGAGCATCAATGGTCTCTGTAGCACATGCCATTTGCAGTCACAGCACTAGGCATTTACAAATTTACTATCCTAGACCCAACACAAAGCTGGCCTTCTGTAGAACTTCAGTCGACTCCATACCTTGTTCTTTGGCAAGTTCTGAGGGGGAAATGAGCTGTGCTTTCTCCATGCCCTGTTCCTGATGGCTCACTGTAATGATGTCTTTCCATAATCACAAACCACCTGTTTTGTTTTTTTCTTAAACCCACCACCTCCAAACAATATTATTTCCTCTGAAGAAGAGCCAGTAGAGAGAACCAACAATCCAAGCCAATGTGATTGCACAGTGTCACCAACTGTGTGGTTGAAGCAGTTATCTCACTAACTTAACAAAAAACAAACAAACAGAAAACCAGTTTACAAAGTAAACATAAGCTTTTCTTACAGGTATTACTTGTTCTAGAAACTACTTCCATAAATTTTTGAAGACATGGAAAAAAAACATTTAAACTGTGCTTTTTCTCTAGTTTACCAGGGCGCTTATGAACTAAAGACTCATTTTAAAGTTTCAGGAGAAATTCAGAAAGTCTGAGGTGAGCAAGTTAGTCTTCTAAATGAAGAAGAAATAAATGTGCTTAATATGGAGAGTTTTATCCCCTTTTAAAAGATAATAAAATGTTGATTACAATGATTCCATTATAGTGATTAATGGTAAAATACAATTAAATACAGTTTTTAATGGTTAAAAAAAAGTTTGCTTTTCAAAATTGAATTGTAGCTATGAAATATCAGAAGTGAGAGATGCCTCTCCTGGAATCTACATGTATATACGTTGAGTAATAAATGGGGTACACATGGATAATTTTGATATTCAGTTGTTGAGAATGGAGTTAATGAAAATTGCTCTTCTCTTTGGTGATTTTTAGTCATCTCCCTATCTTTCAACTCATTAGGTTGGAGAGTTGCCAAAATGTAGAGCCTTCTGGTTTTCGATCTTTTGCATAGACCATGTATGTTGTTGAATTTAATATATTTATAAAAGAATGGGAACTTGTACCATGGATTAATTAGGAAGAAACATGGCTTACTTTCAAGTAGTGGAATTCGTACTCCTCAGGCGTAAAATCCCAGAGACTCTGATAGTGTTCTTCATGTGTCTTTCATAATAAAGGAGTACATGAATTGCACGAAGGAGATGTTTGTTTTTGTTTGCTTGTTTGAATGTCATAAGACCAAAGACCACAGAGACAGGATTTGAGATGTAATATTTAGTTTTATATATTTTTCCCTAAGCTAGAATCTATTAACGTTTTCTTGTTTTCTTACTCCTCATGAAGAAATCCTTCCCAGAGAGTCCTTGGAAGTGCATCCTGGATGACTCGGAACACCAGGACTGTCTTCACACCACGCATTTTGTCCAGGATCCCAAGTTGACATGACTACAGCTTTCCCAGGACTCAAGCATCCCATTAACTATGCCTAAGAAATTTCAGAGGATTTTAACTAACGAGATGTAGAGAAAATTGAGCTATGGAGAAGATGGGAACACGGGATTTGGAGCTAATGCTGCGGAATGGTTTATCTTGTTTGAGGTGGATCTATACTTATTCCTAACGGTGAGCCAGGAGATGGGAAATATTTTCAAGGACCTCTTTTTGCCTAACTTGCTGTCAGACCAGTAATGGAATGGATTCTAATAATATCTGAGTTGATTTTTTTTAAAGGCAAAGAGTTTAAGAACCAAGCACCAATGTGACATGGTCTTTACTCTTTTTAATCGTCTTGGGCTAAATGAGACCATTTAAATAAAAATTCCTTCTATTTTGTATTCAACTATAATCATGAGAGGGCATATGCTAGTTAAATACAGTTTAAAAAAGAGTGAACACACACACACACACACACACACACACACACACCCAGACTCACCAAATTGTAAAGCATCCACACACAGAACAGTATACTTACTCCCCAAATTACACAACTATTGAATATTAGTTAATGCTTCAGAAAGCACTTTAAAAATCACTTCAGGACAACAAGGTCATTCTATGCATTCCACTGTCCATCAGTTTATAGACCTGTGGAAGCACTTTTCTAAAGGATATTAAAAGAGCACTAGATAGTTGAGATACTGCTGAATATTATTGTGCCAGGACAATTACTTGGATGTTGTCAGGAGTATCTTGGGGCCTCATTTCATCAGACCAGTAGCAACAATCCTCGTTTACAGCATTATTTAAAATGTGCTTCCAAACTGCCCTGTAATAGGAATGCCTGCGTTACACAAAACGTGGTCGCCGAGGACAAGGCTTGTCCTTCCCTTTGCTTCAATCCAAGCCGCTACCTGCCAAATTAGGGGTAAAGCACCATGGAGGAAAGGGTTATATTTTGAAACCAAAGGGCAGTACCTGGGTGCCTAGGGTATCCAGAGCCATTGTAACCCTAATTCTGAATGTTCTTCTAATACCCAGAGTGAATGCATTATCTGATCAGAGCTATCTAATGGTAACTCTGTTTCAATGATGATAACACCAAGAAAATTTTTCACCCTACAACCTTTTCAAAGCACAGTTTTATCAAAGTATCGTATCTCTTCCAGAACAAAATTATTAAAACTTATTAAGAGGAGAGAAATGGGTTTCTTAAGGTAAAATATTTTACAAATCATTCCATTTTGATATACTCAAGTATTTGCTTTATAAAGTATTTTATTTTTGTAAATGCTTCACTGTGAGAATATGACTTTAAGTTACCTAAATATTTATTTTTACACAGTTAATGGTCTCTAGATGGGCTTCCTCCATTTTACATAGTCTTTCATTTTTGTCAGTGCAATTTTTAATCATTTTCTTTAGTTGGACTTTTGTATGTACTGTTCAAATGAACTTTCATCTCTTGGTTGTAAACTGAGTGTGTGCTGCTCTATCAAGTGCTCAATGCTGAAATGCTTTGTTTGGAACAAGCACATTCTTCAGAGGCCCTCTGGGCTCAGAGGTACCTTCGTCAAGACGGATTGATTCAAGACAACAGTTATTGCTCCGAAAATGCTGCTATTCTGTTGGTCACTGGATTGCACCTAAGTAAAAAAGATATTATCAAAGGTGAGAGGAATATTATTTAAAAGAAAACAGTATTCTGAATATTCCCAGTCTTATATTTGCAGACATCCCATCGGTTTTATATGTGAATGTGATGTGCAAAATTGTTTTGTGCCTACTGTCAGAAGATGAACTGAAAGCCAGCTAAGATTTGTGTTAAATAAAAATGGTGACAGAACCTCTTGATGACAGAAGAGATGAAAAAATGATTTGATTTTGCTCTAAAACCACCAATTGATTTTGCTCTAAAACCACCACCATCTTTCAGGAAATATTTACAGTTTTAGAGGTGGCCCAGGAAACTCAAAGAATTTAGTTGGGATAAATGCTGGGAGTAGATGTCAAATATGGATCACGATGTACGAAGGAAAATGAGTAAATTAGCTTTAACAGGAGTAAATGAACTCTTCTTACTCTCCATTCAAGAGCCCTGATGGTGGAGTAGGCAACAAACTGAGCTGCTAACCTTAACGTCAGCAGTTCAAATCTACTAGTCACTCTGAGGGAGAAAGATGAGTCTGTCTACTCCTTAAAGATTGAAAGTCTCCGAAACCCCAGGAGCACTTCTACTCTGTTTCGCAGGGCTTCTCTGAGTCAGAATCGAATCAGTGATGGCGATGAATGAGGTTCAAATGCATATGCTTCAGCCATATGGCCAAGAATTTCCAATTGCTGAATAAATGAAAAAAACAAACAACAAAAAAACTTTTATAGTCAGGTTGGGATGGAAAAGTTCAGTAGTGCTTCCCATGAGACAGAAAGAAAAAACACTTGTTCAAGGTATCCATATAAATAACAATAATTAAACTTGATGGCAAGAAAAATTATTAACAGGGAAAATATCTTGCTAGTAACCTAGTTGATAAGTATGTGGGAAGCAATTAACAATGCTTCATATGGAAAGGCATTTATTTAACTGGAAAGTGCACAATTAAATAAGTGTACATAATTTTTAAACTACTGGAATATAAAGGAGACTGTACTAAATATCAAAGTTCGGTGGCTGGTTGGAATTGTAAACATTGGGCCCAGACAATTGTTATGACAGTTTGTAGAGGGTTTTTTTTTTCCTACAAACTACTTGCAACTGGAGTGTAATATTTCATATGCTGTATTAAATAAAGTGTTTATCATTTATTAATAGGGATTTATGACTTTACAATGTGAAGAATTTTAAGTGAAATTTTAAATAAGCTAATTATGACTACTCAGATAATTACTCATATATTTTATTTTCTACCTTTTTCTTAAATATCATAGTCATCTCCTCAGATTATCAGTAAAAATGAGCAAAAGGGTGACTCTGTGGGTTAAATCTTGGGGTGCTAATGGCCAGGTTGGCAGTTTAAACCCACTGTCAGTTTCTGGGGAGGAAGGTGAGGTTGTCCGCTCCTGTCTCAGAAGCCCAGTGGTGACTTCTCCTCTGTCCTGTACAGTGACTGAGTCAGAAGTGACTCAGTGGCAGCTGGTTCAGTTGGATGCATCTAACGCTCCTAACTTTCCCTGCAGATGAAATTCAGTAAAAAACAGTTTGTAAATTTAGCATATTGTTTTTCCCTGGATGCCTCCTCCCCTTTTTGTCTCTATGTTTTATTACTCTCGTCATTGGAAAATAAGTGTAAATTTTAAATTAAAAGCACAGTTTATAACCTAGCACATTAATTCATCAAGTGAAAGCAAATTGTCATATTCAAGTTTGTTCTCAGTAGATGCTGGTCATTCCTTGGCTTATGTTGGGGAGGAAATGATGTGGGTGAGGTCTCGAAGGAAGTCTACCGTTCTCATATTGACACACTGGCTGGGCGAGAGTGGTTTCTTCTTCAGTTCTGCAGTGGCTTGTGTCCGGACATACATATCCAAACATCCAAGGATATGCATTAGTTTTTGTTTTGTTTTTAATATTTTTTTGTGGTGAGATGTGTATATTTGTCAAAACCTTTACCATTTCAGCTATTTTTACTTGCACAGTTGAGTGACATTAATTACATTCACTGTATTTCACAACACTCACCACTAACTACTACTAATTTTTCAGCACCCTTAACAAAAATTCTATACCCCTTACTTCTATACTCCTACACATATGTTCCCTCTCAGCCACCCTTGGCAATCACTAGTCAACGTTGGCCTCTATTATTTGCCAACTCTAGTGAGTTCACTTAAGATCATCTCTTCTTTTGTGTCTGACTTATTTTACTCAGCATAACGTTTCCAGGTTTATCCATGCCATAGCATGTATCAGCCTTCATTTTGCTTTCAGTCTGAATAGTATTGCAATGAACGTATGCATCATGTTTTGTTTATTCACTCACCTTTGGGTAGACAGTGGGGCTCTTTCCACCTTTTGCTATTGTGAATAATGTTATAATGAACACCAATGTACACAGCTGTCTGAGAGTTTGATTTCAATTCTTCGGGGCATATACCTCAGAGCTGAACAGCTGGCTCTGAAAGTGGTTCTATGTTTAACTTTTCTAGAACCCTCCAAACGCTTGCACAGTGGTCGCACCACTTACAGTCTCATCAGCGATGCACGGAGGTTCTCATTACTCCACATCCTCACCAACACTTCTTGTTTTCTCTTTTTCTGATAAGAACCCCAAGTATAAGCATCCTAAAGAATGTTAAAAAAATGTGTACACTTCCGTGAAAACTTGGGAAAATCCATAGGCTGCTATTTAAAAATTCTTCTTATAACTATATATAAGCATCCAAGTGTGGTACTGTGTGGTTTACATTGCATGAGCTGTTTGTCAATTGCCTTGTTTCTTCCTGGACATAAATGTAACATTCTTACATTTCAATTACCAATCTAACAAGACAGAAAGCAATGAAATACTCTACACTGGTTGGAGGTTTAAATTTTGGTTTGCATCTTTAGTGGGAAGAATAAATATGTTTATAAGTTATTTAAGTATGATAAAATATTGCCCAAGAAGGAATTTGAGCATCTCAGCCAGGATCTCATAACTCTGATCTTGGAAGTAGCAGGAAACTGCTTATGGGGAGCAAATATGAAAACACCAGCAATAAATAGAAAACCTTTGGCATAATACCATTTTCCTCTGCTATAATCAATTCTACAATTGATTTTTATCTTTTTTTCTCTCCTTGAAAATTATTGTGTTTGAATGCTTTCTAAGGGAGATTGTACTATGCCATCAATAACGATTTACCTTTAAATTGAATATTCGTTTCTCAGAAAGTGAGAGTCAGAACCACAGAACTAGAAATGGAAAGAACTAGCTCCGTCTTCATTGTATCCTGTAGGATGCTAAATCTTGGGCTTAAATAATCTAAAGTGTCAGGACAGAAAATTAGAATATTGATTAAATCCATACCCCTGCTATCCATCTTGTGATATTAAAAAAAAAATGTTCCATGGAACTATAGTGCCTTTAATCAAGACAAAGACACCCATTTATAGTGTCTTTCCTCCAGGCAAGGACAACTCACCAACATAATTTCCTTACATGCATATATTTCCCAGTCAAACTGTGCTCTAGGAAACAGTCTGCTAGGATTGGGCTTAGATTCTAGCAGCTATTCAATAAGGAAATACACATAGGTAGATTAGATAGATGATACATAGATAGATAGATAGATAGATAGATAGATAGATAGATAGATAGATAGATAGAGGCAGAAGAAAAGGAAAGGAAGCAAAATGAAAGGATGGAAGGGAAACAGAGTACGGCTGTAAGAATAGGGGTGTGATAGTGGGTAAGGACTAGGCTGCTAATCATAAAGCTGGTAGTTTGATCCCACCAGCGTCTTTGTGCGAGAACGAGATGACAGTCTGCCAGCATTAAGTTTTTCTGCCCTGGAAATCCTGTGGGGCAATTCTACTGGATAGTATGAGGTTACTATGACTTGGAATTTATTTGGGTTTAAGTGTTATCAGTTTAATTTGTTCTGCTTAATGGCCAAGATATCTGAAATATAAATGAAACCTCAAACCTAAATAATATTTTTTTTAAAACCCAAAACAAACAGAGAAAACATGTAAACTATATCTGACTTTTTTGTTTTTGTTTTTCTCTAAGATATTTACTTTAGGCCCTGAAAGACTTCACCCTGACTACTTAAAACTTTAAAAGTTTAGACTGAATAATATGCAGAACACATTACAGATGAAACTTCAAGACATGGTTTACATCTGGCTCAGAAGATAATTGGTTAGGGGCTGCATGCCTTCCCTTGGCTTGTAGAGGAAATCCACTTTTCAAATTTAGGGTCGGGGTAGGGAAGGGAGTTCATACAGCAAATGTGCAGTGGTTCTCACAGGCCAGAACAAGCCAGTTGAGGGAGGAAAGTGGCCGGTTGTCTGATTCTTGGTGAACTCTGAGAGCTGTTTCTTAGCCACTCCCTTGTAGGTAAACAGGAGAGCTTAGTCTGATGAATCAGCCTGATGTTATCAGACTCGAGGGCTGTGTTCTTTTCTCAAGTTGCTTAACAAGTCAAGACTCCAGAGTCCACGGTTCAGAAATGGGAAGGTGTCCAAAGGGCCCAGAGAGCCTCTCATACTATTTCTCTTCCACGGAAAGGTACCAAAGAGAAAACGCCTGTTATCTGCTAAGATAGGCAGACAGCTGGTTTCTGCTCCACCAGCATCAATGGCAGACTACTAAGGTTGGAAGTGATGTTAGGAACCGAGCAGCCTGACCGGGTCATCTTAGAGGGAGAATTCTAGATCCAAACTCACACAACTGCATAGTGCACTGATGTCTAGAAGATAGAACTGTTTAAGGCAGAACAATCCAGTGATCATTCCTCCCATCCCTTGCCTGACTATCAATCAGAACCACTCGGTCTTGTTTCTCTGGGACTTTTCTTTGGGAAACCTGTAGCTCCTAGCAACTTGGGAAGAAAGGTTGGATACGGCAAAAGAGGAGAGCCCTAGCACGTGCCGTGCTCTTGCCTTCACTTTGGCGCTCACTTGCTGAAGGAATTAGTGTCAAAACGACTCAGAGCCCTTGAGAATTGATTTGGTTTGACAATTTTTCTTGCTCTAAATCAGGATAACGTGGGGTGTTTTTCCCCTTAATGGAAAAGAAGATAATATGGTCAGGGAAGTTTCAAAGTCCCTTTACTACACATAAGGAACATTGACAGAGCAGTAAAACTTCAACTCCCACATCTGGGAGTACCTGTTTGAGCAAGGTGTATTATCGCCATGTGGAATGGCCCAGGAGGATAGACTTGTCAGGAGGGAAGCAACACTTCCTGGGCATCTTCAGTAGCAGAAACTGTACTAAGTGCCTTATGATTTTTCTTCCATGGAGCCCTCAAAGCAATCTCTGAGCATCACCATTTCACATATGAAGGCAGGAGGTGTGTAAAGATTCAGTGTCCTGTCCCAGAATTAGTACGGTACTCAACTCTGACTGTCATCACGTTGATGATGACTCATAGTGACTCTTTAGGGCAGGGTACAACTGCCACCATGAGTTTCTGAGACGGACTATTTACAGGAGTAGAAAGCCTTGTCTTTCTCC